ACACAGAAACTTTGTTGATACGCGTTTCTGCTTCTGCTCCCTGGGCTCACCGGCAGGTGTACCGGTTTCTATAAATCTCCTTCCATGATTGCCGCGGTGCCGTATCGTACGGCCCGGCATACGGGAGGAGCGACGTTGCCAGATAGACGGTAATACTGGTAGGACAGAGATGCAATAGATCATTGTGACATAACCGCTTGTCATCTGAGAGAGATCCGCAGGGGTATTACGTAACTTGAACAGTGTTACTATGTCGTTTTTATGAAATTATCTAGGTTTTCCTACAAGACGTCAACTTGGAACTAGCTATCGTCCGCTGCATGCTCACTTCTCATAGGTAAGCGCGCAATGAACTATTTGCATGCTAACCTACCTAACAAGTTGACATTTTATCGGTGTTTGACATTATACAGGGTGGGGCATAAGAATGTTGGCGCGGGCGCGGGTTGGGGGGGGGGAATAAGCTGTTAGCCGCGTCGTTGCCTGGAAACAATAAATCGGTTATTACTGCACGACTTTTGTATCGACATGAACACGGTTTACGCGATTTAAGACAAGTTCCAAGTGCCAATGTGATATGGAAATCGATCAGAATATTCGAAACAACCGGCTCGACAGTAGCAATAACAGCTCGTTTCTGCAAGATCAGCCGACAATGTAGAGCTTGTTCGTGTTTCAGTTCAGCAAAATTCGCAACAGTCAACACGTAAGAGAAGTCAGGCTTTGAACGTCTGAAGGCTTATAAGATTCAACTGGTCCAATAATTAAAACCAGACGATGCCAATAACCGACTTAACTTTGTCAATTTGGTGCTCGATCGATTCAACAGTCTTAACAACGTAATGATTAGTGATGAGGCCAATTTTCACCTCAACGGCCATGTTAACAAACAAAATTGTCGGTTCTGGTCCGAAACTAATCCCCGACGCTTGCATAAACTTCCACTTCACAGCCCTAAACTAGTCGTGTGGGCTGGAATTACGTCAACCGGTATTATTGGACCGTACTTTTTTGAGGACGAAAGAGCGCAAGCGATGACAGTTAAAGCTAACAATTATTGTATTATGATAACAGAATTTTTGGTGCCAGCTTTGCAAGAACTCCAAGACAATACCTCTAGAATATGGTTTCAATAAGATGGGGCGACATGTCAAACAGCTGCGGTATCTATAGAGGTGCTGAAAAATGTCTCTCCCGGAAAACTCATTTCGGAAAGGGAGATATTGAATGGCCATCACGTAGCCCCGGTCTTTCTCCATGCGATTATTTGCTATGGACCTACCTCAAATCGGTGGTCTACGAAAATAATATAACTAATTTAGAGCAGTTGAAGAGGAATATTGTTCAGGAAAGTAACAAAATACCGAGAACAACTTTTCAATGAGTTTTCCAAAATCTGCAGCTTCGGTTTCAAGAGTGCCAAGCATCCGAAGGAAGTCATTTGAACAACATTATTTTTAAGTCTTAAAAATTCCTCTTTCTACTTTTTAAAAATACATTTATTTTTCTTTTATATTGCATAGTTATTTTTTAATTGAATATTGAAATTGCCAACACCTTTATGGCCCACCCTGTATAATAACCCTGCGCAGTATTATCACGTAAAAAACCTATATAATGTCAAAAAATCCGACAAAATGACATCTTACTGACCAGATAGTTCTTAGTGTGCAAATAGTTCATTCTGCGTTTGCTCGCTACGAGCGCTGTGAGCGTCAACAAAAGCGTCATTTATGGAGTAATGACTCAACGACACAACACCCTAACGTCAGTTACTCATCATGCTTTGTTGGTTGCAAAATGCCAAGATAGTCTGTAGAGTGTATCTCTGGATGATTTTATGGTGATTGGGTGTATTTGTCTGCATGTGATATCTGCTATGTGAGAACATTATTACTGAATATGCTGCCCGTATGTCTTGTAGCTGTTCCAGAGGGGTTATTTGTGTTGACCTTCTGAAGAGAGCGTATGTTCAATGTTATAAATTACAATTTTTCCCTGTTTTTTGCGTTTTCAGAAATTTTGAGAATCATTACGGAAAATCACCACCTCGCCCGCGTGGTTTGTACCTAATTAAGCCTCATCACAGAAAAATTAGCAATACGAGTATCGCATTACACACACAATATTTTCGCAGTGCTTCACGTCTTGGCGCTGATTTGTATTTTCTACTTGATATCGCAAAATAAATTTCTATAAAATTTAAATGACGGGAAATAAAAAATAATGTAAAATGTAAAAATTTTCACGTTTCATAAATATTCCTGTCTGTAGCCTATTTTCTCGCCTGTTATTTGTAATATACTTCACAACAAAGACATTTATTTTTTTATATCTCTCACTTTTGAAATTCAGCAAATTTGCATATATGATTTCCACGCTGAATCATAAGTACATCTCAAGTAAGTGGATTTCAGAAAACCAAGGGAATTATCATCTACATGGATTATTAGCACACAAATCCTCACTGTGTACCTATAAATTGCCGTTTCCTTCCAGCTACAGTATACATCTTACAGCTTAGACCTCCAATAATGTCATCATAATCAAACATGGATAGCTGATTGATAGCGAATACACATCAAGTGCACTAGTTTTAAGTTGACATGTGAAAAAACCGAAATAATGTCACAAAAAACCTATATAATGTTAAAAAACCGACATAATGTCACTTTTCTTGATACGCAATATCTCTGCTGTTCAGCTTTTGCATCTCGTATTAGGTTTGATGGATAGGTCGTTCAAGCAACTCCTCTTTACACTTTGCTGGCTAATACAGGAACATACTCCATCCCCTGTTTCAAGACCTGTATCTTACTGATGAGTTTTTGATAGGACAGAAAGGTTCTGAATATATATATATATATATATATATATATATATATATATATATATATGATAAGAATCATATTCAATGAATTTTACTACGCTTTCTTATATTACATAACACCATTCCTTTGGCATGAATGGACCGACCCAAGAAAGAGCATCGAATGCAAAAGGAAAAGGAGAGGAATAGGTTACACACGCCATCGGTTCCTCAGTCGCATACACATATATTCCTTCGACTTCCTAGAAAACGAAATCGTCTTCGACCGCGCGGCACCGGCACACATGGGGGTGGTTGCGCTTTTGCTTCCTATATCCACTCTCCCCTCTCACCCCTTACACACCCTTCGTCCCTGTCAAGGCATCAGCCGCTTTCGCGTGCGTGTGACGTCACATCCGCGCTCCAGGCCGCGACCTTGGTCAACTGGTGGCTTTGGCTCTACCTCACGACCTTCGACGTATACAAATAGTGGGAATGTCACGTTTCAACATTTCAATTTGGATGTTATTACAGTAGATGAGGCGATAATCGAAAAATTACACCAAAAGCTAAGAACCAACTTTTGAAATATTCACTGTGATTGCCTTCATTATACGTGAAATAGTGAAAAGCAATCCGAACTAAGTGCCTAGGCTACCTTTTACATATATGTATATCTGTGTCAGTTTTCAAAACAGATTATTAACAATAACAACAACAACAATCGCAAATCATGCTTATCCATAGATACGAAGCATGTAGGGCTCATGATCTTCCCTTCCCTGTCAGAAATGTCTTAATTCTGATCGCAAATAATCTGAAAGCTAGTTTAGAGTCTTGGCTATTGCAAGGCTATCCGGCATCTCATTACTACAAACCTCCCGGTGCCTGGCACCTATATATACTGACAAAACCTAGTACTTTGGTCCAACATTGTCTCAGTACTTTGGTCCAACATTATCTCTATAGACTCTCTACGGTCCAGACCGGGTCCCAACGTTGCCCTACAAGCATATTAATATTTCTTTGGTTGCAACGTAACTGTCCAAGCAGATGCCCATACGTTGTCAATCGAAACATAGATCTCCGCATGGATTTAATACAGAAGAAAAACTGAGCCTCGTCTCGACAATTTAAACGTTATGTATTCTGCAAAAAGAATACAGAAGCATTGAAGGGATGGTGACCAGCTAAGGTAGCAGCACATAGGTCTCATCTGGTTATTCAATACTGTAAGTTAACAACCCCAAACTAGCGGAATGAGCACTGTTAAACTTTGGTCATTGTAATGCCAGCGTATCACAGAACGGATCCTTGAATCAAGATGAGAGCCAGGCAGTGTCAGGTCAAGTACTCAAGTGCCCATTCTTCTTGTTTTCGCAAAACGATTCAACTGCATACTGTATTGGCAATCAGACAAAATTACAGCAGTTCTTCTTTCCCGTATTTCTTCTTCCGTTTGTAAGTTTATTGTACCTTACATCGCTTGAGCCCTACTGCCATTTGTTTAGTACTCTAGCCCAGAGTTCCCCAAACTTTTTTGTGTCGTAGACCCCTTGCCATGTTTTTCCGTGTTGGGTAGACCCCCTACTTACCTGATATTGATTTCCTGTAAATTTCTATCTGTAGTGAAGTTTAGTGTTAAAAACTTAAAGTAAAAACACATGTTAATTTATACATTTATTAATTGAATTTAAATTAAAACTACTCAAAATAAAATTTTGTATCTGTTATGTAAAATATACGTAACATTAAATAAACAGGTGTCTGACCAATAAGTGCCCGCATTGGGAATAAGTGCCCGCATTGAAAAAGAAAATAAGAGGGATAAAATCAAAAAAAAAAGTGAAAAATAATAAAAAAAAGTTTTTTACTTAAAATAGTACAATAAGCGAGTTCGTTTATTAATTATAACATAAACGTATGTTCTACAATCATTTCACTGTTAGTTTGATTAAATTCCGCTTCGTATACGTTTAAGTTATCTAAAAATAGGCAAAAAATTAACGAATTTTAGTATGTACCTATCCTTGAATTTTCAGAATAATTAAAAAAAAATATTTTCTATACTGGGGGTTTTTTAAAAAAATCAGTGTGGGCACTTATTCCCAATGCGGGCATTTATTGGTCAGACACCAATAAACATAAAATAAACTATAAATAAAATAACATAAGCAATAAGTCAATATTTTTAGTGAGAAGGATGAACCTGATGCTTTAATAATAAATTATCAACATTTGGCGTCAATTTTGTAAGGGTTAATCTTAAATATCCTCGGCTAATGATGTCCAGTCTGTTTCTTTTTTTCGTTAGGAGATTGGTAACAGCGCTGAACACCCTTTCCGCTAGGTATGACGATGGAAAGGAAATTAAAAATTTCCTCGCTATATTCCATAATACGGGATAAGTAACGGGTATGTTGTTTTGCAGCCAGAATTGCTGATATCCGTTTTTAAACTGAACCTTCGTTTGTACTTCGTTTAGTCAGTTCCTCTTGTATTATGACATTCGTTTCTTCTATGTCACCATATGGATTAATTATCCACGGCGGTATTACCATAGTAACAATATCCTCAAACCTAGATTCAAAATCTGAATAGAGGGCATTTAAATGTTGAACGTAAGTTGAAACGTCGTCTTCCTGGCAGCTTGTCTGTGACAAATTGGGGAACTGAGAAAATTCGCCCCGTCCAGTATTTTGCTTCATTAGTTTAACTCTGGCAAGAAACGCTGATAAGATGGACTTTGTTTTAATCAAATTTAAACTGTCGCCTTGTAATTGCAAATTAACCATATTAAATTTTGTAAACAAATCTGTTAAATAGGCGATGTCTGTTTTCCTCTTCATTAAATTTTCTTTTGAAATTTTATCTTTAGTATCCAAAAATTCTAAAATAGTCTCAAAAAGTGCAAAAAATCTTGTCAAACATAAGCCTTTCGACAGCCAGCGTACTTCAGTGTGAAGGAGTAATTGATGAAAGTGTTGGTCATTTTCTTCACACAACTGCGCAAATAACCTCGTATTCAACGCGTTGCTCCGGATTCGGTTTACTGCATCAATGACTAAATGAAGTGATTCATGCAATCTAACACTAAAATTTTTAGCAACTAAATGTTGTCGATGGATGACGCAATGTATTGCTAACACCCCTGACACATTTTGTTTTAAATAGCTTATAAATCCACGATAACGTCCAACCATGGCAGGTGCTCCATCTGTAGCTACTGATATTACATTTGATAAAGGAATTGCTTTTTCAATGAAGTAATCCTTCAAAACATGAAATATTGATTCACATCATTCTGTCCTATGTAGGTCTCTTCTGAAATTTATCTATGAGTGTTTGAAAGTATTTCAAATCTTTCTCTGTTTTATCAGGGTGGCATCTTCTCAGATGATCTTGCAGTTTAGATGGTTTCATAGCGTCATTACCCAAAACTTTGTTGCATAAAAGGCACATAGGCGATTGTTTGTCCGGCAATGATGGAATGAAGCCAAATTTCAAATAATCAACACTACTGTCTACATTTCTTTTTAGATTCGGACATGGCATCAGTCGTCTGTGGGCAAAATTAAATTATTTAAATAAGACAGAAAATCCAGCAGCTGTATATTAAAAATATTTTTTGATTTTTCCGAAAACATTCCATAATTCGAACATCTTCTTGCAACAATTAGCTCGAATTACGGAGACTGCACTGTAATTATATTACCGATTGCTAAAACTTTCAAAAAGAAACTATTGAGGAGTACTCATGTAATTTTGCATGATTGAATATTTAACTACTAATAACTAAAGTCATGATTGGCGTAATTTATCTATCTTTGCTAACTACGAGTACAAAACTAAAATTTAATAAAAAATAATGTTCTTACTTTTCTCCAGCACTCTCAAACAAAATAACACTGACTCACTATAATTTGTGTGATATACTAACTGTTTATATTTTTTAAAATATTTTCTTAGCACTTTCCTTTTCAAGATTCAGGAAACGAATAAACGTATTTGTCCCACATTCGTATTTATAGAGTGACGAATTGAACAAGTCAGTGCAAGGTAGCGAAGCTCTGAGACTGCGACTCTCAGGTTTTTACAAGTTCAAAATGTATTGCGACCACAAAGCGAATACCAACATCCTACAACTTACAAAATTTTATAAACATATATAATAAATTTTTTACTTCATATGTACTTTTATAAATAATGTATATGTTTTGATATTATAAGATAGTATGATGTAAGTAAACAGGTACTATCAGTGTATGTGTTGAGATCCACTATCATAGACCCCCATATTCATTTCATGGACCCCCAAATTTTTTTTCGCTGACGTAGACCCCTTGCACGTTGTTATAGAACCCTAGGGGTCGATATAGGCCACTTTGGGAATCTATGTTGTAGAGGATATGACACTGTTCCTCTTCCAAATATAGCCCTTTTTATTCAGCTGTTCTTATAGGCGTTGCATCGAGTTATTATACCGACCCGAATCATCTTCAACAAAAGCAGTTATTTACCTATTTCTGGGCGTTAAGAGAGGTTCCGGGTTCTAGGAATGTTTATGAGTTAGACGATACTTTTCTTGACTAAGAACCTATTAAAATATTTAGCCTTGATATTTCCAGAGGCTACTTAGGCCTGCAGTTTTGTTACACCAAGACAGCGACCACTCATAGATGGCCCTAGATGTTGGTCATGAAGTAGAAGTTCTATCCCCGGAGACATGAGATGATCCAAAGAGATCTGAGATAATCCTTAGTCCCGATTATAGCCCACTGTTGCTGATGCTACCGATTTTTCAGTCTTATCCGGTAAAGCTTCAAATGGATCAGAGGAAATCTGACGACAACAAAGGATTTTAAAAGAGATCCAAAGAAATCAGTGCGACGAAATGTGCCAGTGATTAGCATTTTGAAGTGGCCTGGATTTCCGAGTCTATAGGACAGCCGTACATGACGAGCTTGACTAATGATTTCTTCACAAGTTGCATCGCTTAGCATAACAATATCGGAAATCTTGAGCCAGTGGATCCACCAAGGCAAAAAGGAGTGAAATACTTCTACAAGGTGAGACTTTACAATGTTGAAGTTGAGAACTAAGTTCTTATAAGGTCGCTTGAAAATAAAAACATAAGACCGATGCCGAAATAAGAAATGCTTCTTTAGACCAGATAATACTTCAATACTTCCACGCCTTCGAAATAACTTCTATTACAATTTTCAATATAGTGCAATAGCGTCAAAATACTTTTTATGCCTATCTAATATTTTCAAACTTATTCATAAAGGATGTACAGTCTAAAATCCGAGGTCTAAGTAAAATACGTGGTCGCTAGAAGATATACGCAGTATATGCAATCAGTTACGGAACGTACCAAGTTGGACTAGCCCCATTATACGAGTACGTCCAAGATTATTTACGAACCGCAAAAACATGCGGAACAAATATTTGACTTAGACAGAAATATGAGTAAAACTAGATTTGTTGGGATAAGAATTCCTCTTGGCATCCAATTATATGAGCCCCTTCCCACTTCAGTTGGCCCACTTCAAGATTTGTACCAAAATATGCCTTTATAAACTAAACATGACGAAACTATTTACTTCTAAAAGAATTTATTTTTTCAAAAACATTTTAGATACACTCTAGTCGTAAAAAATACATATTTGAAATCACTTAGACCTATAACTAATAGAACATCTGAACAAATAAATAATGTGCGAATAAATGCGCGAAGTTAACAAAGCAACAATTGAAAGATTGCCATTGGGTAACATCACCTTTATTTTTTAGTACGGCTGAAATTCTTTGGGGCATAGTGTTGACCAAGTTTTGGCAAAAATTTGGTGTAAAACAATCCCATATTTCTTGAAGGTTTTGTCTCAGTTCGGTGATTGTACGAGCAGGATGTTTCGTAGAACGTTTTTCATCTCGTTTCAATAGGTGACAGATCTGGACTGCTAGAAACCCGTTTCAAAAGTACATTATTTTCTTCCATCCATTTTATAGCCTTTTTTAAAGTATGGCACGCTGCACCATCTTGCTTAAACACAAAATCTTGGCCGGATGTCTTCCATCACTGGTAAAAGCGATTCTTCTAAAATTGCCAAATATTTGTTTGTATCCACATTTCCATCAATAAAATGGAGTTTTCCTACTCCTTTTGATGACATACTGCCCCAGACCATAATGGATGCTGGAAATTTCACTTTTTCCTTCAGACAGTCAACATGGAATGCTTCATTTTTTTGCGAATAACTCTACTGCGACTGTCACCAACACAAACTTCGAATCGGGCCTCATCACTCCATTGTATTGCACACCACTGTTGAGGTGTCCATTGTCTATGTTCTTTAGCCCATCTAAGCCGATTTTTCTTTTGCAGTGGAGTTAATAGTGGCTTTTCTTTGGCCTATAAACAAGTTATGCAACTTTAGGGTTTTACTTCACTTTTTTTTATAAGAAAACTTACCTTGCAAGTGCTAAATCCCAGTTTGTGGGCCTCTCTATGAGTTGTGATATTACTTTTTTTCACATATCGTGGCTTAATATGAACTGAACCAGTTACGTTATATCTTCTAACAATATTTCTCACACTGTACCGCGATAAGTCTAACAAAGGTGCAATTTCTGAGTTTGATTTCCCAGAATTAAAAAAAATAATTATCAGTAACCGAATTTTCTCACTAATAACCTTTCCTCTACCCATTTTGAAAACCTTAACTACCCAAAACTATTTTAAAACTATTCTGACAGCTGTGATTAATAAAAACAAATGTCATGGCTTTTATTTTTCACAGTCACCTATGCGTTATAGACTTATTTTGCATTGAAATGACAATAGGTTGATATGCTGTAATTGCAACATGTGTTATTTTTATGCTGCAAATTTGATTAGGGTGTGAGAAAGTTGGTGTTTTCTACTATATGTTATCCAAATATTCATTGTTAATATTTTAAACCTATAACACCCTGCTACATCTTTAATATTTGTGTTTGATAAGAAAAAAACTAAGATTTCAATAGTTGGGCCAACTGAAGTGGGCTCGTAGGTGTATCGTGAAGGCGTTGAAAATGTTGAACCTAAGTTTGGATACCAGTACTCGTGTAAGAGCTGGAGCAAAGAACCTTGGTACCAATGCACATGTCTATCCTTTGATATCTGGCTCAATATACAGATATCGTGCATTTTCGGTCTCAGAGATTATTACTATTGATTAAGTGTGCAAGATTTATGAATGGATCTTCATCCGTCATTTGGAATAATAGACCCTATGTGAGAGTATAGTGGAAAATTATAGAGGCACAGTTCCTTATATTGCTTCTCCAAAATACCAGGATTCGCTGTTCACCTTAGACTTGAAAGCTTTATTTGTAAATATAACATACCATACCCCTTCCCAACGTGGAATCAAAAAATCGACCTAATGTTTGCTCGTTCCAAATACGAAACTAAGAGATCAATCCTTATTTACTTTTTATCACCATGGTATGAACTGGCAGCTGCATATTCAATTCCACTGAAACTGTTGTCCCGCTGCTTTGGCGCCAGGTTTTTTTTCTGCAGCCATAAGCGATGTTTTTCACAAAAATACTTTAATTTGAGCCGTGTCATCGCATGAAAGACATTTTGTTTTGCACTCTTATGCCAAAGAAACCAATTCGTAATATTGTCAATGATACTTTTGAAGCAATTTATAAAATATTATTTCGGATGCAATCATCAATGTGACTAATTTTAGCATGAACATCTCTTTTTCTCACAAAACTAGCCGTCGTTTAACGACCAGTAATCTAGAGAGCATTAGGGAAGAGCCATTAAGAAGAACCAAGTAGCAACCCTTAGGAAACAGGAAACTGGTAAGTATGTGACTTTTCAACCCCTGCCAATAATATATACGGCCATAATTTTGTGGGATATTTGGCCTGGAAATATCAGCTGACACATTGTGCTCACAAACACAGACACACACTTGTGGATGTTTGATGTTTTCGATTTTAAAATGCACAGCTGTTGCACGGTATTGATTGCTTCCTCATTTTCAATTTTACAGATGCTTGAAAATACAGTTGATGTTTTTTCTGCTAGGCGAAATGAGATATCTTACCAAAAACAATTATGTTTTTTTATTCGTTCTTGTTGTTATTCTTAGATTAATATATGCATTATACAATGTATATACACGTAAAGCAAAGGTGTCCATAGGTCCAGTTTTTTCATGAGTAGTTTTAGAAATATGAGGAGATCCTATTACAGTGTATTTTGGGTTCGTTACATGATATGTAATAGTTGTTATATT